CTCAAAATTTTGTACACGGATTTCATATGTATTTTAACGTTGATCAGGAATACTTACTATACTAACTGCAAACTGATGTCTAGTCTTGTGTATGCAGGTATATTAGTTTCCCGACCAATTTCTGATACTTCTCTTTGTCAACATTCTTCTCACATTTTGTAGATCTCAGTTTCTTTGTTGGATCCATAGGCGTATCTACAGATTTACAACCAAGCATTCTTGTTTCTTTTAGGAGATCCAGGACATATTTCCGTTGTGATACAGAAATTCTTTTTTTAGACTGAACAATTTTCATACCTAGGAAGTACTTGAGTATTTCAAGATCTTTAATTTCGAATTCGTTGGCTAGAAACTCTTTAAGTTTTCGAATTTCTTCAATATGATCTCCTGTGAGAATAATATCATCTAAATACACAATCATAATTGATCTTTTACCTGAGATACAATGTTTGACAAATAAAGTGTGATCTAATTGACATTGCTCATACCCAATATGTTTTACAACTCTTGTGAATCTGTCAAACCAAGATCTTAGGGATTACTTGAGTTCATACAACAATTTCTTGAGTTTGTAAACCTTGTGAGACTAATCTTCTACTTCCAAATCTGGTAGGATATTCATGTACACTTCTTCTTCTAGATCACCATTCAGAAATACATTTTTTACATCCAGTTAACAAAGGAGTCAATCAAAATTTGATGCAAGAGAGAGTACCACCCTTATTGTGTTATGCTTGGCGACTGGAGCAAATGTCTCCTAATAGTCTATATCATAGGATTGAGTGAAACCCTTAGCCACAAGGCATGCTTTGAGTCGATTTACACTACCATCTGAGTTGTACTTGGTCGTGAATATCCATTTACATCCAACTGGTCGTTTTCCTGAAGGTAGCTCAAACAATTCCCATGTCACGTTTTTCTCAAGAGCACTAATCTCTTCTTGAATAGCTATTCTCCACTCTAGTATTTGAAGAGCTTTATAGACTGTCTTTGGTTCCGGAGAACTGCTGTCTAGTTTGCTCACAAATGCATGATGTTTTAGAGATAGATTGTCAAATGATACATAATCTTGTATGGGATATTTTATGCATAATTTGGCACATTTTCTCACAGCAATAGATAAGTCAATATCAATAGCAGAGTCAGTAACAAGTACCTCATTACTTGTTGATTCCTGAACCAATGGAGTGGGTACGAATTCATGGCAAGTCCTGGTTAGTTTCAGTACTTGTTCCCCACGAACTTTGTTCCTTCTAGTATAGACATGCAGCTCATTTACTGCAGGTATTGTACACTCAGTTTCTGCTACAGGTTCTGGTTCAGGATCAGACTTTAGAGGAGGTGAATTTTGTGGGTAGATGGAAGGGATGTTAACATCCCACACTTGATATTTCTAAGTAGAATGCTCCTCCTGAATATCAATAATGGGATAAAAATGCTGGTTCTAAAAAAAATGACATCCATTGTATTATAGAATCGTCATATATCCGAAAAAAAGTATTTGTATCCTTTTTAATTCGATGAGTATCTAACAAAGATACACTTAAGGGCTCTTGGGTCAAGTTTCCCCCGAAGATGTGAGTGGATATGAACGAAGATAGAACACCCAAAAACTTTAAGTGACAGTAAGTGTAAGATATGTGAATCAAGAAAGTTCTGAAAGAGAAGATCATAAGGTGTTTGAAAATGCAAAATACGGGAAAACATTCAATTTATCATATAAGTCATAGTGAGTATTGCTTCTCCCTAAAGGAACTTAGGAACATGGGTAGTGAATATAATGGATCTGGCAACTTCAAGAATATGTCTGATTTTTCGTTCGACTACACTATTTTGCTAAGGGGTGTATACACAAGAACTTTGGTGAATAATGTCATGTTCCTCAAAGTATTTCCCAAGAGTGGTTTCAAAATATTCACAGGAATAATCAATTTTAAGTATCTGTATAGTGGTATGAAACTGGGTTTGGATTATACTATTGAATATTTTGAAAATGGCTCCTACTTCCGATTTTTCTTTCATTAGGAAGACCCAAGTAATTCTAGTGTGATCATCAATAAAGGATACAAACCACTTATTTCCGGATATATTGGTGACTCTACAAGATCCCCAAACATCACTGTGAATTAATGCAAACGGTTTGGAAGGCTTATATGGCAAACTTGCAAAAGAGTTTCGACTATGTTCAGAGATTTGACATACTTCACATTGAAACAAAAGTAGATTTTTATTCTAAGGAGAACATCTTTTGTAGATACAAAAAGTTTGAATGACCTAAGCAATAATGTCATAATATGATATCATGATCATTATTTAATTGACTCACAGAAACAGAGTTAGTACATACTACCGTTTGAATTTATCTTCCAGAAGAGTCTGTTTGAAGAAGATACAAGCCTGAGCGCATCCTAACATTGCCAATCGTCCTTCCCGATTTCAAGTCCTGATATTCACACATTTTTTAAACAAATTTAGCAACATAGTTTAGATCACCAGAAAGTTTGCTAACTGATAGTAAATTGCAGTCTAATTTTGGTACATAAAGCACTAAATGAAGGGTCAACTGTGGTGTTAAAACAATGGAACCAGTTCCAGCCACTCTGAAGATTGACCCCTCTGCAATTTTAATTGTGAAATCCTCATCTGATGTTTTGTAATTCTAAAATAGGGATACATTACCCGTCATATGGTCTAATGCTCCAGAATCAACCACCCATGTGTCCTGTTTTGACGAACATGTTGTCAAACCAATTGTTGCTTTACCTTTTTGTGCCACTGAAGCACGCACGGGCTGAGTAGGTAAACAGTTTTGCTTGAATAATTGTTGAAGGACCTCCATTTGTGCAGCATTGAACGGACTGCTTTCTGCAACATTTTCTTCAATAGTGGAAGCAGCAATATTTTCTTGACGGTTTCTATTGCCCTCTGTTCTTTTGGTCTTATTCTCATTGGGTTTCCCGTGCAACTTCCAGCATTTCTCGCGGACATGGCCGAGTTCCCTGCAGTGATCACAGTATGGCCTTCCCTTCTTTCCACAGGAATCAGACCGCGTGGTGAGTGCTGAGGTACTTTCGGCAGAGTAGATAGGCTGAGCTTCTCCCATTATCACCTGTCTCCTGCTCTCTTCTCTCCGGATTTCCACGAACACTTCTCGGATGCTGGGTAGTAGTTTCATTCCCAATACCTGTCCACAAACCTCATTCAGACTTTTGTTGAGCCCCATCAAGAATTTGAAGATTTTTTTCTGTTCTACAAAGAGTTTGAACGTCCGAGCATCATTTGGACAACTCCATTGATGCTCCTCGAAGGTATCCAGTTGCTGCCAGCTTCGGGTTAGTAAACTAAAGTACTAAGTAACAGAAAACTCACCCTGACGCAGCTCATGGAGAGTCGACTCCACCTTGAAGATAGTGAAGACGTTATATTTGCTGGAGTACGATTCGTGAGCCGCTTCCTAGATTTCCTTTGTTGTTTCATACAGCATGAAGTTCTCACCAATGTCGAGCACTATTGAGTTAATAAGTCACGACATTACCATGTTATTCTCTATTTTCCAAACGCAGAAACTTGGATCGCTGGTTGCGAGAGGAACAGTTTCACCTGTGAGGTAATCATCGCGGCCCTTGCCGCGAATAAACAATAAGACAGAGGTTGACCATTGAAGGTAGTTCTGTTGTAAGGACTAGAAAGTAGAAAGAGTAGAAAAAAAAAATAAATAATAAAAACGACGTCGTTTTAGAGAGGGGAAAAACGACGTCGTTTTGAAAGAAAAAAAAACGACGTCGTTTTGGGATGTAGGAAAACGACGTCGTTTTGGGATAGGCTGGCAGGGTATAAAAGGAGGTCGGGAAAGGGAGAAGAGGGGGGGGAAAAGAAAAAAAAAAGGGAAAGAAAAGGAAAAAGTGAAAAAGAGAAAAAGAGGGAAGGAGGAGAGCAGAGACGAAGAAGAAGAGGAAAGTTCCAGAAGGAGAGAGGAGAGAGTCGGGGCGGAGGGGAGCGAGAAGGGAGAGGGAAGGAGGTCGTGGACGGACGACGCGACCGGCAGGAAGAAGGAAGATGGAAACGGGAGGTACGGTGAAAATTTGAGCTGTTGGTGTGGTGTGTGTGTGTAGAGAATTTTGTGCAGGTGCGGCGTCGGCAATGGCGCGACGGAGTGGAGCAGTGAAGGTAGGCCGTAAACGTGGGGTTGTCCCGCGCGCTCACGGAGGTGATCGGGGAAGGAATGGAAAGTATGGCGGTGTTGGAGGCGTGCGGGGAGCCGTGGGGAAGGATGGGGGTGGTGCGGGTAGAACAGAGTGAGGAGGATGTGAGAGTATAATCTAGGAGGCGCGGGTGGGATAAAAACTCAAGAGAACAGAAGAGGTGTGTGCGTGGTGTGTGCGTGGGTGAGGATGTGGAGGGAGTCGCTAATAGGCGGTGATGTGTTTCCCCGAAATGCACGGTGGTGAGGGCGTGTATGTGGTGTGAAACGGTGCAAGCTGAGAGGTTAATCGCCCTAGGTAGGCAAAAGTGTATAGGAACCGGGAGGAGGCAGGAGGATGGGGGAGGTAGCGGGTAGGGGGCAGTGGGAGAGGGAAGGGAGCTGGAAGGTACGGCAGTGGGGACTAGGAAACCGGATTTGAGGGGG